TTGTTATATTAGGTCCTTAATCATAATGTAGTGTTCATCTCTATCACTTATTATCTTTTCTAGTTGGAAGTCAATTTTATCTGTTTTTTTAAATTTATTTTTATTTTTTTAAAGATTTATTTTTTTATTTATACAATAGCTGGGGTACAGGCCAGAAACGCAGGAGGGTGAGAGGATTCACCAGAGACAGAATGGGGAGCAGAACAGACAGACCGAAAACACCGCTGAGGGGAGCAGCGGGTGAGACAGGAGAGGTCTGCCACACCATGTGGGAATCTCCCTGGCTGGCCAGGAATCGAACCTGCACTGCAGAGACTGCGGACAGCTTCATAGTGCTGTACTCAACTTGCTGAGCCACTCGGGAGGCCCCTGATTTTTTTTAATTGTAATTTGCTCATAGGACTGTCTTCCAGCCTTTGACTCTACTTGTGTGCTTGTCTTTGTTAGTAAGATTATAATAAAGTAAAAATCAGAATCAACAAGCAACTATAAACCAGAGACACACTGTGGGGGAGGGGGCAGAGGAGGAGGGATTAGGGTCAAAATAAGGGGGATGGGAATTGTATGGGGACTACAACCAAGATGAAAATGCATACATTGTGCAAAAATGAAAAATGATGTAAAAAATATATACAATAAAATTTTTTTAAAAAGCAGAAAGTTGGACTTTGTTTTGAACTCTGCATCTTTTGAATGGTGTAATTGTTTAGACATAAAGACTCCTTGCCGTTTTGTTATTATTATTATTTTCTTTTGGTGTGGGATTTTTTTATATCATCTTTATTTTTGATGTCTTCCTTTTATGTTTTGTTTATGTTCCATTTCTATCGCCTAATCTATTACTTCTACTGATTTTTGTTTGAAAGTTCTGCTGAGGTCAGTATTTTTTTTTTTTAAATATTTATTTATTTATTTATTTATTTTTTAAATATTAAATTTTATTTTTATATTCCCCCATACAATTGCAAACGCCCCATTCTGACCCCAATCCTTCCCCTCCCGTCCCCCACCCCCCAAAAAGTGTCTCTGGTTCATAGTTTTTTGTTGATTTTGATTTTCACTTTCTTATATTCATTTTCCTGGTCCCTTATTTAAGTTTCCTAGATTCCTGCTATGAGTGAGACCATCCGGTATTTTTCTTTTTCTTTTTGGCTTATTTCGCTGAGCATGATCCCTTCCAGTGCCATCCATGTTGCTGCAAATTGCATGTGTTTATCTTTTTTGAATGCTGAGTAATATTCCATGGTATATATGGACCACATCTTCTTGATCCAGTCATCTATTTTTGGGCATTTGGGTTGTTTCCAAAGCTTAGCTATTGTAAACAGTGCTGCTATAAACATAGGAGTGCAGGTGCTCTTTGGAATTGATGTTTCTGTGTCCTTTGGGTAAATACCTAGGAGTGGAATTGCTGGATCATATGGAAGCTCTATGTTTAGTAGGTCCAGAAATCTCCACACAGCTCTCCATAGTGGTTGGACCAGTTTGCACTCCCACCAACAATGCAGAAGAGTTCCTTTTTCTCCACACCCACGCCAACATTTGTTGTTGCTAGTTTTTTTAATATGTGCCATTCTCACTGGTGTGAGATGGTATCTCATGGTAGTTTTGATTTGCATTTCCCTGATTACAAGTGATGTTGAACATTTTTTCATATGTCTGTTGGCCATTTGCATTTCCTCTTCAGAGAAGTTTCTTTTTAGCTCTTCTGCCCATTTTTGGACTGGATTATTTTCTTTGTTGTTGCTGAGTCTCATCAGCTCTTTGCAGATTTTTGTGATCAGTCCTTTATCATTAGTGTTGGGTGCAAAAATGTTCTCCCAGTTGGTGGGGTTTCTCTTTGTTTTTGTTATTGTCTCTTTTGCTGTGCAGAAGCTCTTTAATTTGATGTAGTCCCAGCTGTTTATCTTTGCCTTCACTATCAATGCTTTGGGTGATGTGTCTGTAAAGATGTCTTTGATGTGCAAATCCCGTAGTGTTTCGCCTATATTTCCTTCTATGTATTTTATGGTTTCAGGTCTTATGTCTAGTTCTTTAATCCATTTTGAGTTGATTTTTGTGTATGGTGTGAGGTAGTGGTCAAGCTTCATTCTTTTGCATGTAGCGACCCAGTTTTCCCAGCACCATTTATTGAACAAACTTTCTTTGCTCCAATGCATAGTCTTTGCTCCTTTGTCAAAGATTAGTTGACCATAAATCTGTGGGTTTATTTCTGGATTTTCTATTCGATTCCATTGGTCTGTATGTCTGTTCTTGTTCCAATACCATGCAGTTTTGATGATTATGGCTTTGTAGTATAGTTTGAAGTCTGGGAGTGTGATGCCTCCATTTCCTTCTTTTTTTTTCAGGAGAGCTTTGGCTATTCGGGGTTTTTTGTGATTCCATATGAATTTCATCAATAATTGTTCTATTTCTTTGAAGAATGCCATTGAGATTTTGATTGGAATAGCATTGAATCTGTATATTGCTTTTGGTAGGATGGCCATTTTAATAATGTTTATTCTTCCAATCCATGAGCAGGGGATGTCTTTCCATTTCTTTGTGTCTTCTTCTATTTCTTTTAACATCAATCAATTCAGTAAAGTGGCAGGATACAAAATCAACACGCAAAAGTCAGTAGCCTTCCTATACACAAACAATAAATCTGAAGAAGAAGAAATCAAAAAAACCACCCCTTTTATTATCGAAACAAAAAAAATCAAATATTTGGGAATAAATCTAACAAAAGAGGTAAAGGACCTATACAAAGAAAACTATAAAACACTGAGGTCAGTATTTGAAGGACTCATTGTGTGACCCATTGCATGGTCTAGTCTCTGACTTTTTCCAGTGGACCACATTGCTACTCTCTTCCTCCTTCAACATAATTTAGGTGCTTATTACCTTGTTATTCATTGTTCTGTTGCTTTATCATAAGCCCTTTATGATTTCTTTCATGTGCAGCTTGCTGTTGATAAATTCTTTTAGTCTTTGCTTTTCAGTGAAGCTCCTTATTCTTCTTTCTATCTTATGTCTTGTATGTTAATTTTGCAAGCTAACAAATTCTAGGCTGGAAATCTTTTTTCTTAAGAACATTATTTATCTCCTGCAAATCCCTTCATGCTCATAATGTTTCTATGGGAAAGTTCAAGACAGTCTGATTGGTGTCCCTTTTAGGTTACATTTTTTTTTTCTCTTGAGGTTTTAAGTATTCTCCTTGTCATTAGCTTTCAACAATGTCTGTCCATCTGTCTGTCTGTCTTGCTGGTATTATCTTGTTTGAAAATTTTTGGGCCTCTTGGATTATGACATCTGGTTTGTTTTTCAGCTTGACATAGTTTTCATCAATTATTTCTTTAAATAAATTTTCTGTGCCTTTCCCCTCTTCTCCTCCTGGAACCTTCATGATATGTGTGTCTTTTTTTTTAGATTATTCCAAAGATCTCGTACTTTATTTTCACTATTTTTTTTTCTGTATGTTATTCTATTCGTGTACCCAAGCTCATTAATCCTCTTCACTGCTTGCGTTTGTCTGTTGTTGAGCCATCAACTGTAATTTTTAATTAAGTTATAGTGGTTTTTAGATCCATTATTTTTAATTGTAACTGCCTCATGTTTTCTTTTTCTGTAAAATCCTCCATTTTTTCCCCTTGCATTCCATAACCACTGTAATAACTGTTATCTTGAACTCCTCTGTAGTCATATTCTGCTGTCCTGCTGAATTGAGACGCTTCTCAGGGTTTTTTGCTCTAGTATTTCTGGTATGTTCTTCTGTCTCTTCATTTTAGGATTTATGATTTGCAATAGGGAAAGACTTCCAGACTGTTCCTTTTTCACATGTTGAAGTAATCAGAGAACTGGTTCCGGCAAGTGGTAGTCTGTAAAAAACAGAAACAAAAACAAAAAGAACAGAGGCAGAGCAGTATAAATCACCAAACCTGAAAATTCATGTTAAAATTCTCACTTGGGAACTAATATTATCTGAATTAATTATCTTGATATTATCTGATTGATATTCTTCAGGTGAACTGATATTGGTCAGTAAGTTGGGGAAATATGGTTCTGCTCAGCTCTCTGTTGGCAGAATTAGTATAAAATTTAGTACCCTTGTCCCAGTCCCATTCATTTTTGTCTCTGCTTCCTTCTTAAGCTCTTTGCTTTCTCCTGTGGCTCCAGGGCAGCGGGGACAAGATGGAAAGGAGAACACAGAAATCTAGCCTAAAGGAGCTGTTCTGTTCCTCTGTTTATAGGTGGGGCTAAGGGAGTGTAGAGGGGGATAAATTATATTCTTTAAATGTTGGGGTTTTTTCCCCTGATCATTTAATTTTTGAAAAAGAATTCACAGATAATGAAAGGTAATGTCCTTTCAAACTGGTTATGCTTCAAATGTCTTTCTGATTATCTACTTATATGAAATATATATAGTTATCTGAGTTACATGGGTTATAGATGGTTATCTGGAATAATATAGGGTGTACATGGCTATCTGGAGTTACATGGGGTATATATCACAACTAGACTTGTAAGGCGTATATGGTAGCGATGTCGAGTGGAAGGGGAAATGAAAGAAAGTTTGGTGACTCAAACCTACAGAAAATTTGGGGAAGTTGGGGGAGGGCAGGAACACGCATATGTACGAACATGAAAACATGCTTCAAAGCTGAATGGCTGCACAGCACCCTTGCCTGTGGCTATCTCAGTGGGGGGTCCTTGGGTGAACACATTTTGATAAATGGTGTTTCCATGCTAATTTAGTTTTTCAAACTCCAGTCCCAAAATGCTTTGGCTGTTCTGATATAAGCAAGACTCCACCTACAAAAAAAAAGAAATCAATGATTTTACAAACTCCAACTGGTGTCTTTAGTGGCAGGAAGTCAAGGGCCTGGTGTGTGTGTCTGGGGCAGCGGCAAAGGGGGCTGACCTGCCAGCAGGGTGCGAGTACTGCCAGTGCTGGGAGAAGCCTCTAGATGGTGCAGGTGAGTCTGCAGTAAGGAGGCCCTTCTCAAGCACTGAGTTTCCAAACTCTCAGACAAGACAGAGCAGTCAAGGAGGAGTTCCCGGGAAACCCTTTGCAAAGATCAGAGGCAAAGTGGGGCTGAAGACAGAGGGGTACCTTGCCCCGGGGAGCTCTGCGGGCCTCGAGCATCGTTGAACACCTGGCCCTACAACACTAAGGGGCAGTCACCTCTGTAACCTGGCGGCCCCGTGGGAGACTGTGCCTGAATTTCTTCACAGACCATCTTCTGCTTCGACTGGAAACTGACCCTCCAAAGGTGTCCAGGTAAGCCTTGGTCTTTTCTTTTCATTTTCTAAACTCTCTGACTGTGGATGAGGCAGAAGTGTCATGGGCTGCAAAGCAGCCTGAGTGCATTTTTAAAATACATGTCATTTTTGGGTTGCGTTTGAACAAGTTTTCCCAATTACTCTATTTCTGTGCTACCAGTTCTAAGACCTGAGATCGTTCCTTTGTTTTCAAGAAAACATCAGAATCCCCACTTACTATTGGTTGCACGTTTGGTTAGTGAATCAAACCCTGTGTGTGTTTAGCAGATTTTCAAATTTGAGTTTCTAAGTCAAGATTTCTCCAGAGAGCTTGAAAGTGTGTTTTTCAGGTATGCCCCAAGTGTGTCTCAGGTTCTCGGGCGGCAAGCACCCCTAACAGACCCTCTCCCTGTGTCCCACCCCTGAGGATTCACAGTGCCCTAGAAGACCTTCCAGGAAGGGTTTGACCCAAGTTTGTGACCCAATGTCATAGTCCCTGTGTTATGTATGAGGGCAGGGGAGGTAAAAGAGTTTTATGTGTACCTAATGATCAAGGCTTTCATTTCCAATCAAGAGGCTCCTTTCCACACTCTGACACATCACCAAGTAGTTTGGGCCCATGCCCAAGAGCAGGCATCTTCCTCGGCACCCTGCAGCCATCGCTCCTGCACTGCTGAGGCCTGAGGTATCAGGCGGGGGGGTGGGGGGGTGGTATGGGCAAGGAGAACAACAGGTGGGTGACCAATTGAACAGTTAAAGCAACAAGGGGTCAGGAGTGAGGTGACAAGTTAGCAGAGCAGAAACTCTATCTATCACACTGGACAGAGTTGTTGGGACTCGAGACTGAGGCACAGGGAGAAGAACAGAGAGAGGAGGGAGCAGCCAAAGGTCAGACTCCACAACCTGGTGTCTCTGACGTCGTATTTCTGAGACGCTCTCTAGTCAAGAGTGCAACGATGGTTAATTCAAAATACTGAAGGTCATAATGAACTAAAGGAAAAGAGGAATCGATTTAAATAATTAAGTTAGAGATTATTTCTTACCTGACTCGATGCTCTGACATTTGTAAATCACCACTACTTAAAACCTTATTTAAAGTTACATTTTAACAGAGTCCACCAAAAAATGTCATTTATCAAAGTTGGGAAGTGAATGTTTGTCCTGATGATTGGTCACACGGAAGTGAGAGGGGGCCCTGGAGCCATCAGCTGGGTTCTCTCTCTCCCTGTCCTCACATGAGCTAGGATGTACTGTGGCAGGATTCATTTTTAACAGCACATTTCAAAGGTAATTCTGAAGCACATGACTTTGGGAGATAAGAGGAAATAAGATTTACCTGAAATATTTGATTTTCACTCTCTGGCCACTACTTGGTTTCTAAATGTAAACTGAATTTTCATTTTGTTGAAAATACATATTTGCAAAGCTCAGAAGCATCAAGGGTTCTTCCTTCAGTATCTTTGTGTCCCTGTATCTAGCACAGCGACCGCCACAGGCAGCTGCCCAGGGTTTGCTCAGGGAAGGGAAGGCAGGTCCGGTCTTAACCTCCCATTTCCCAGGGTACAAAGCTAAGCTGACTTTTTCTGAGGAGCATCTTCTCAGCCAAGTGCCTTAGAACCCAAGGGACCACAGATAGGAGTTAGGTCACCTGAGACTCCTTTTTGGGTCCAGGGAAGTAAGTTTCATAGTTTCCAAAAAAAAGGAAAGTAGTTCTCAAGGAAATGTTCAGAAACCCAGCTTCAAAGGCTCAAGCAAATCTGAAATTCAGACACAGTAGCTGTAAACACGATGGTGCTTTGGAAGCCAGCCTGATGATTAAATGGCTCAGTCCCTCGGGTTGTCCCCACCCCCCTCCCAAGGCCTGTGTGAGTCCTGCCTGCACACCTCCTTGGAGTTTTCCTCCTGGCCCTGCTTTCCTCAATTATCCCAGAGGACACCTGCCTGCTCATTCCTTTGAAGCCGTTTTAGGCTCTGCCTAGGTAATTCCTCCCACCAATAGCATCATTAATTAACTTACATTAAGTTCACTTAGCACATTACACCAATTAGGAAACAAAGGCCCCAACCCCTACCTGAGAGTGCTGGCTCTATCACAGCCCAGGCTGCTATCCTCCTTGTGTTCACACATTGCAGGCAAGACTCTTAGTCAATCTCAGGTTATATTTTCCTAAAAATGAAACAAGAAAAGATAAACTGATGTCATCACTTAACTTCTGGGAAGTTAAGTAACCCATGCCACTTTATAGAGCATTTTCGTGCATGTCTTCCCTGTGGAGGGAGGACATCGAGGCTTAGAGAGGTTAAGTGGCTTGCTCAACACTAATAATATTAGTTATGATGCCACAAATAGATGACACGGTTGCACACCTAGAATGCCCAGGCATCGTTCTAGAAGAGTTGGAATCATTACCCCTGCCTCTGAGACCGATGCATCTATCTCTCCAAAGACCAGTGGAGAAGGTATGATGAAAATTCCCAGGTGAAAATGAATGTTGAGCGAGTAAATACTCCCTCTATACCTCAGTTGTCAGGGCTGTGTCAATCCAGACACCAAGCATGCACTTGTCTCCTACACTCACTAGAGGCCAGGGCTGAATAGGAAATCATCTCATGTTGTTCTTTTGAGTCATCCTGATTAAGGTTTAGTAATAGAGAAATTATTAGAGGAAAATATAAAGTTGCTGTTTCTCATACAGCAAAAAGATAGCTGAATATAGGCAATTTCAAGTGGTTCAATCTAATATATTCTAGTAGCTAAGAGAAATTTTCAAATGACTGTGGGGCTTAGGTCTCCCAACAACTCTTTGGCATCTATTAGTACAAACAAATGAAACTTATCCGTGTTTAGTTTTTATTCATTACTTCCTAACATAGTCACAAAGCATAGTCCAAGGATGGTTAACCTTTATAATCAAAGCTAAGGGAAGTGCTTTACCCTAGGTCTGGGCAACAAGATGGCCATAGATTAGATAGTATGTAAGGGAATCTTGTACTCTGAGGCAGCCTCCTTCCCAGCATCTTCCTGAGAGCAGAGTGGATGCTCAGTGAAAATCTGTCCAGTGAATGAAGGAAGGGAATCTTTGGTGCCAGAGAAAGATGACCAGTTGTTCTAATCACACACTGGGGCTAAGGGGCTTCCCAAACATCAAAACACCCTAATTCCACAAGCAAACAAGTCCCAATTGCAAAGCTAACCCCTCTGGGTACAGAGACACAGGTGATTCTTAAAAGCTGAGTTGCCTCAAGATGTCAGACAAATGGTTGACTCCAATGTGGAGCAGATACTAGCTGGCAGAGCTGCATGGCTTTGAGCAAGGCACTTAACCTTGCAGGCCTCATCTCTTTCATCCAGGTGCCCCTGCCTAGGCACCCTGCAGAAATGCCTGAGGCCTATATACAAAGTTTCAAACACAACTAACCAGAAGTCTTTGTTCTTCACTTCCGACAAGTCAGATCGCTGTGGGGAGTGATGGGTGGTAATGAGCAAGATGTGGTTGCACAGATAGCCACCCAGTGAGTTCCTGTCATCCCAAGTCGTTTCACAAGCAGGGAAATAAGAATATGTTCTACCCATGGCAGGAAGGTAGCTTGGCTTGCAAGTCCTGATTGAAACAGCAAGCAGAGCAGCAACTGTTACTAACCGTGACCTGGTTCATAGAAGCCAAGCTTAGCTGGGATATTTCTAGATCCTTTGAGACTATACTGCTAAGTGATAATATTGTCAAAGGATGAGCCCAAAGACTGAAATAAGATATTAGTCACCTAGAAAGAATATGGAGATAACACTGCCAATAACACTTTAATCCTGATAGAAAGCGCATCCTTAGGATGTGAGGGAAGATATGCAAAACTGCTCTGCAAATGAAAAATGTGAGGTCACAGCTCTGACAACTATCGGACTGTCACCAAATCTTTTCGTCTTGTTGCCATCTTTCCAATTCCGTGTGTCTTAAACAGTGTGCCCCAAGAGAAGAGAGGATTTCACACTGGCTTTAAGATACGTTCATCCCTGGGCCTCCCTGGTGGCGCAGCGGTTGAGCGCTGGGTTGCAAAGCTTCCCATCAGCCTCTGCAGCACCGGTTCGATCCCTGGCTGCTCCCCGGCCACTGGAGGAGGGTCCCACATGGCGCACAGACCTCTCCTGCCACCCGCTGCTCCCCTCAGCAGTGTACTTCTGTCCTTCTCTGCCTGTTCTGCTCCCCACTCTGGCTCTGGTGAATTCTCTCACCCTCCCACGCTTCTGACTGTACCCAGTGCTTGTACAAACAAATAAATCTTAAAAAAAAAAAAAATACGTTCATCCATTCATTTGGCAGATCTTTTCTGAGCATCTGCTGTACAAACAGTGTCCTGGGAAGTGGTGTTTTGGTGGTACCTTGGGGGAGGCATTTACATCCTAGTGCAGAGAAAAGCCATAATACATAGATGCAAATGTGATCTCAGATAAATCCAGGGCCATGAAGGAGCAAAAAGCAGGCAAAGCAGAAAGATGTGCTGCGGTGACAGTGAGGAGACCTCCTGAGGAGATGCTATCTGGGCAGAAATCTAGAGAAAGTGAGGGAGCTAGTCAAGCAGAGGTCTGGGGTGGGGACAGAAAGAGGCGTCTCAGTTCCTGGAGAAGGCAGCATGGCTTACAGCAGGGGCTCAGTGGTAAGAACAGAAGAGGAGAGTCAGAGCATGGAGGCCATGGGAGCGAGTCTGAGCATTCTCTGAGTGTGGGGGAAAGGTTACAAGACTAGACACTAACTAGGGGCAGAAGTGCCATCCTGGTTTCCATGCCCCGTGTTGTTCTGGAGCCATCCATATCCACAGCACACTGGTTATTATATTTCAGAAGCTACCCCCTCCATGAAACCACCTTAATACACCCCTGCCAGTGGGCAGATGTCTGGGTGGTCCCTTCTACACACACTGACCAGTGTGAAGGGCAGAAGAGGCAGGTGGCAGAAAAAGTTGGCAGGACTGTGGAATGGTTTTTCAACTCATTATCTGTTCTTTTTGCAATTAACAAATGGCAAA